TAGACCACGGCCTTGCCCAACACAAGTTATAAATTCGGGCACCGCCGGGAATCGAACCCGAGACCCCAGGGTTACAAGGTCAGAGTTATCACCGCTAGACCACCGTGGTTTTTTGTTAACCGCGTAAAGAAGGAAAAAATACGACGAAACGTTTTAATTAGCTCAAATGCGTGAAATTCCACTTAGTGTGAAGGACGCTATCTGCTAGATTTGTATCAGAAAAGGCGCCACGAGAGACGCTCGTCAGAAGCACAGTAGTGGCGGTGTTGCGCAAAACTGCGCACGAGACGCGTCAGGTCGGTCCAGTTCCAGCGAAACACCCAATTGCCTTGTTTGCGGCGTGTGTAAACACAACCCGTAGCGAGCGGACCAGGTGTGGATCGAGACTCGTTTCACACCTGTTGACCACGTCCGGGTCATCTGTTTCCTCCTAGACTGAACACGAGAACCAAGATGTTCACTTTAGCTCCACAGATCAAATAAGGTTCCCGCGGTGATCCCAATAGTCAGCATTGCTAAACCGCGTAATATCTTAGCGGTAAGAGGATCAACGCTTCGATGGAATATACTGCTTCCATCTACAGGTCCGAAGTAGTAACATTACATGTGCGTGCGTGTGATAAGAGTGCGCGGGGGTGGGGGGGCAAACGCTTATAATCTTACGAATAATCGGCAGCCCTGCCGAAATTGTATCTGGCCTTAGAGTTACAATTTTTAATTAACAAACAAGGTGTTTCTCCAGCTGGGAAAGGTGCATGGCGGAGGGGGGCAGTAGGCTTTTGTGCGGTGACCCCTCAGTGACGTAAGCAAAGGTCAGCCACGGAGCATTCATCATTCACTCGGTTCTTATTGAACATGACAGACTTTTGACAGGATGAATGAATACGTGTTTGTGTTTGGATGGATTCCATCTCGAACAAACACTACACCTTATGAAAAAGATTCAGTTATGACAAACAAAATATAAACTCGTATCCAGGCAAATGACTGTGGTCACAGCGTCGAAATAACACTTCAATACGTATCATAGTCAGTATCGATTAAAATCGATATCGAACCAGAACAGCGTTAAAGATACGGCATGCGAGGTGTTAGGAGACAATTATTCCTGGACTCCAGAATGTCATGGACCAGGATGCTGCAGTACTAACGCTCTAGAAATGCGTTCCGGAGGTACCGTCTTCGAACCTCGGATAGATTATCACCTATTCTTGTCGAGATTTCCGCCAAACGTCGAAATCTAATGACAGGTACTTTTTATTCTCATTCGAATCACGGCCCAGTAACTGGTCATCCTGAGATATTCCATGGTTTTCCTCAGCCTCCGCGAATGCTGGGATAGTACCTTAAACCACGATGACCTCATTGTACGAGGTGCGATCGGAAAGTTTCAATATTGTGTCAATAGAGGGCGAACTGGATGTAGTACGAGCTTTTGCCTTTAGGGGGTGCGGCCTACATTCATAGTGAATCAGTGTGCCAGCCGGCATCATCGAATTAGCATTTGTTTCTTAGTTACGGGCGTTTTGGTAGTGCATTACACCGACCCTCCTGCGATTTCGGAATGGCGGATTTTC